TAAGTACTTAATAAATGCTTTGCTAGTACTTAACCAAAATCATAAACAGTTAGCAAATGGGCTAGTAAATAGTTATTTTCTGATTATGAAATCTTTAACTTATACTTTATTAAACACTTATAATTTGGCTAAAACCTTAGCTAACCTCTTTAACCCACTATAAGATTTAACAACCCCCCGGCTCATCCAAGTGCTCTGTACGGTCGGCCGAGCAGCTACGTAGTTTTCGCACTTTTTTTTGTTACATGATGGTGCCATACCTGTGGCACCCTGTCGATGCTTGCTGGATGAGCCCCGACATCACAAGTTTCTTGAGTCAGTTACCATGCCGATCTGCTGCGCAATATGCCGGCAGCCGCACACAGAACCGCTGCCAATTTTTCAATTGGCGTCCCTTTCGGCGTTGCTCCTGCAATTGATGTTGGCAACGTTCAACGGTCTGGAACTGAGGATTTATCGTCTTAGCAAAGTTCATGCGTCTTGAAAAGACCCCCAGTCTGGCCCTCGTGGGACCGCATCGAAAAACAGCAAGCGACCCACAATCCAGACCCGGCATGTTTTCTGGGTTTGGTTGAGATCTTGTTGTTGGAGCTGTTCTGCTGAATCCACCGCGCAGCCTCGGCACTTCGCAACCGGGCAGCGGCAGCCATGATTTCAGAAGTTGCAGCCGGCCGACACACGGCAATGGCTTCAGGACCGTTATGACGATATCAAATGCCATACGCGGATGCGTTGCCTGAAGGACCCGTGCTTTCTGAAGCTAGTTCCTCCACCTGAATTAAACATGCGGTATCGAGTGGTTCTTGCAAGACCAAAGCGATCCTCACTACACCTTGCCTTGTGCCATCTCGTCAGCGTATATTATATATCGTAACTTGCAACCCAAAGGCTAATGACCGCAAAGCCTCTTACAGCAGACTGCTAGCAGGTTGAGGGAATGCGGCGGAGTCAGCGAGAAGATGGCGCAGAGCAGTGTCCTCGAATGACCATCACTGCATGATTCACCCGATGCCTCGCCTCCGCACTCCGCATCATCACAGGATCCCAACTCGTACCGGGGAACTAGCCCTGCGTCACCAACTGACCCGGCACCCCTCTCAAACCCCGATGCCCGGTCTGGAGGCCTCTTGCATGGCCCGCGTTTGTGCGGACTTCGCCTTGTTGCGGGCACCTCCCCTTTTCTGTAAGCCCCGGCTCCGCCGTGCCTTGAGCACCTTTGAACCATAACACCACCGCCGGTCCACAGTTCCAATCCTGATTCCGATCAGAATAGGCACCTACTGCGTGCTGCCAGCCATGAGTGAGGCTGAGGCGGTCGGAATGGCGACTTCCATCTCGCCGGAGTCGCCTCCCGCCGAACTGAACGAGCCATCCCATGTGTCCGTCCAGCTTGGCAAGTTGTCGGCCGCCCGCTAAGAAGATAAATTGGGAACCACTTGCTGCGGCCAACTCGGATACTGCAACAGCTCACTGAACCGTATGCCCCACCAAGGCCAGAAATCCACGATTTCCAGCCTGAGATGCCGGAGATGCTAGTTGCAGGGCAGCATTGCTCGCCAACTTGCCTCGGGCCGGAAAGGCGCGGCACCTGGCCCTACTGGCCTCACGGCCAAAATACTCCGCCCTGTCCTGGATGCGGCAGAATCGCCCCAGGCCTTTAGAGACGTCTCAGTGCTCCTGGCCCGTGCTCCTGTGCCCGAACCCATCGCTCATCGACGTGCACACCCAACCGCCCACTTTCAGCGTGCCTGCTTGATGCTCACTGTATCTGGAACCCCAATTATAGTTTCAAACGTGAGCAAACTTTGTGTGAGGTGTGCACGAAGTTCGCGCAAGGCGCGCGCAAGCGCGAAAGACCATGCCCTGGCAATATGAAACACGATCACAACAATGAATCCATGCTGGCCAGGACAAGTTACAAAAAAAAAGATTGACACGCCCCCTCGCAAGGTAAGCGCAAGGGCATGTCAAAGGACATTTCCGGGAAAAGGATATGTCATGAATAGCACTCAACCAGCCTTTAACCTGCACCCTTCTCCGACCTGAAGGAAAAGCAGAGTGAGGTTGTCTGTGGCAACAAAGAGCAGCAGTGAAGCAGCGCCATGTGACAGCTTGTTGGAAAGCCTTGCTTAGGCACCCGCCATTGCGTCGAGGCATTTGGCAACGAAAGGAGCACAACAGCACATTTTCACTGGAGCATGCGCAGCTCAGTTGAGATTTTGTTAACGAGCTCGCGCCGCCAAATGATTCTGGCGCTTGCTCATATGTGAATTCTCAGTTTTATGCAAGCACTCCCTCTCCCGCGCGCAGGGGTGGATCCGAGGATGCAAAGAGGCTCATGGGATCCGTAACAGATTTCACGGCGCTGCTTGCTCCATGCCATGCCCAGCATTCTGCGAGCTGAGCAACATCAATTCAGCAGCTACTCCCTGTGAGTGCTATGGTATTCGTTGTCTGGTGCTTATCTGTGGGGTTCAGCGCTTCGACCTCTTTCAGCGCAGTGCCGGCACGTTCACCTGTCTGTTTTTGGGCGCTCTCTCCTCCCAAAAGCGAGTGTTGACGTATATGGTGCATATTACGACAGAACCTGGCAACTGTGTGCAGCTGTGAGGGAAAGAGGGCGTCCAGGTGATTCTTGAAAAAACAGCCGTGATTTTCCAGTAGGTTCGAGGTTGGCCGTTGTCCCGTCTTGCCTCACAACATGACGCGGCCTCAGGCGCATACCATACAGTTGCTCACTTGTTGCTTCACTTGTTTCCCTCAAAGGCCAAGCCGCCACAATGGCAGGTGTCTTCGATTGCGGCTTCTCGACCTGCAAGGAGCAACGCAGCAAGAAGAGTCATGTCCGTTCATCATCCACCATGACGTAATATGACATATGCAGTTTCCAACCTCTTCCTCATCCCAGAACCTGAGCCGTCACCGAGTGTAACAAGGGCTCCACTAAGCCAGTGTGGTGATTCTTTCATCATTTCGGTCTAGAAACCGCTGCCGCAGTTGGTTCTTCCGAACCTCTGCACAAGTAGCGTGGGCAAACTCTCACACGCTACCATTCCAGAATCTTAAAGAACTGCTGACTCTGGCGCCTGCCAGGGGAGGCGCTTCTGGACAATCAGTGCTGGATCAACTTTGCTCAGCAAGCGCGAAGTCTTCATCTAGCATTGCACATGCAATCAGTGCCACAGTGGTCAACTGTACCGCACGGGGTCAGAGGGAGCTAGCCCGCACCTGGATGCCCACTCAATGCTACCGGGACTCTCATGGCAACACCCTGCTGTATGCTCGAAGGATTTTGTGGATTTGCGCAGAAAGCGTGTGTTTGCATTGCCTATCAGCTTGCACTTGGCATCAATAGTCTTGGCTGAGTCTCGGTTGGACATTCTATGACATGTACGGCATGGCCTATGTCATTCATGAAGGGCTCAGTGAGGGGAGGGTGCGCTGAGCCGACGAGCCAGGGGTACCGTGTCCTTTCTTTGACTTCTCTACCTGTCTGCCTGTCAAACACTGGAGCGTGATGAGCGCGCAATTCCCGCCCACATTTTCGAGTACACTACATGGGCCATTGCAGAGATTGACTTAAGTTTGGGGGTGTCCTAATAAGCGTGGATTGGCTCATGTGCTGCGAAGGGAAAGGAAAGTGAGGGATGGGAAGGACACCCGAAAGGCCCTGGCGTGCTCGTTCAGTTTGCAAACACGACACGTCAAGTAAGTGGCGCATGCACGCGCTGCAGCTCAGCACCATTCATAAGAGAAGAAATGGCCCCATTGCTGCCCTCAGGGGAAGGGCAAACTGATCCCGGGCGATGACATGCCGTTGTTTACGCCGCGGACTGCATTCTTACACTAGGCGACAACGACAGCAACAACGCTTTGACACTGCGAGAAACGTGAACAATCTCTGTAAATTGCAACGGAAGTAGTGCCAGTGGAGCCCATCAGGGCATTTTCTAACCAGCTGCCATGCAGCAATCTCATCTCAAATGGAGCATAATGCCACACTTATTGCAAAATGTTGCAAATCAAAATCTGACCAGCTCTACCCGCAACCTGTGCTTGAGTTGCGAAGAGGAACAGCAAAAGAGCGCTTTTTCTTCGCGAGGGGCAGCTTGTGCAGCTTCTCCACCACCTTGCAAGGCCTTGAGTTGCTGCACTACAACACGCTGTTCTGTTAGCTGCATCTTTGAGCACGGAACGCTCGGTCGTGAGGAAGCCTCAGCTGAAAGATTGATCTTTTATGGCTTCATAAGCATTATATAGGGATTATAAGGTTAACAAAACCTAGATTTGTTTGTAATCCCACCGCTGTAAAGTGCAGTGCAGGCACGCCAAGATCGGAAGAAACTTCACGAGGTTGTCAGGTACGAGCAAAAAGTATTCTTGGCTTACCAGCTAGTGACCGTGGACGGGTAAGTAAGACTTTGCTTGCCACACAATTCTTTGTCTGCTCACAGCGTCCACAGAATCGGGGCCTTGGCCGTTTCGCATCGTTTCGCAACCTCGCAGCTTCGTCGCAGGTCAAATCAAAGGATTGACAATGCGTGTCATCCTCAAAGCTGGCCGCTCAGAGCGTGGGACAGGTAAAGGGAGGAGTTGAGGGGGGAGGACAGTCAGAGAGGGAGGGGAGGAGGGAGAGGCAAGAGATGATGATGATGATGATGATGATGATGATGATGATGCAGGAGGGGAGAGAGGAGTGATGAGAAAGTAGCCGGAGCATGATATGCATAAACATTGTCATTGGCTTCGTTCATTTTTCGGACAATGTTGAGAAACTGCCACTGCCACAAAATTGCATTATGGCAATGCAGTGATGGGGGGGTTCAACGTTGGGTGTCAGATCATGATTTCCTACTGATTTGTCTGATTTGGGCAGTCTTGCTTGGATTCACGTTTTTCGGTTGATGTGATTCTTCTCATCCCCTGCTTCCATTTCGATGCAATCCCTGTAGCAGAACGGCATCTTGTTCTGGGATTGGGCGATCGGGATGGCCATAGACCCCGGGAGCTCACTGCCACAAGAGTTGTTGGTGGCTTTGCTACTGATGTTGCACCTCCGTTGTCGCAGAGCCCTCTATAACGTATTTCGGGGCCTCCTCATGGAGGATCAAGGGTATGCGTCATGTGTCTGCTGCACATTTCCTGTTATCCAACACAATCTGCATCAGTAGTCTGAGTAGTCCTTCATCGCCAGATACTTTGCAGCTCTGCTGTCTAACATCTTCCATGATCCATGGTTTGGTGCGTTGTCCATCATGTCCACGCTTTCCGTGACGCTACCATTACTTTCCATGTCTTTCATTCTTTGCTGCGCGTTCACACCAGCTACATCTTCGACTAACATGTTTTCCATGGCAATAAGAATTGGAATAGTACATGGGAGAGATTAACGAGAAGCGATTTCCGGGGAACTGTGAGCTGGCAGATGCACACGAGATTTGTGTACTGAGTGCAGAGAAGTGCGAGAAAGGAGCTTTGCCTGAATTTCTAGAATCTACGACGAGGTGACAAGATTTTGGTCGGCAGGCGCCGATATCACAAGCTCATAAAAGCTCCCAACCTCTCGAATCTCCACTGATCGTCATGGTCGTCGAAAGTGCCTACGGGCTTACGGCGTATAGCTGTCTCAAGAATGAATGGGGCACTGAGTGCAACAACATCACACGCCTGTCCCACGGCATGAGCTGCATCAACCCTCTCCAATGCACAGCTTTCAAAATCTGTCATCAAGTCGCGCAAGTTGCGCGACCCACGCCTAGCGTTTTGGCGGAGCCGCTAGGAGGAATCTCTGCTGAGCCTGAGGTATACCACTTCTAGCAGCTCTGCAAGTGGCTTCGAATCGAAGTCCCTGCCTCTCGAAGCACTGCTTGAGGTTGAAGTGATGGGGGATCGCCTGCCATCCGCTGGCTTCCTTTCAACCCTTGGAGAAATGCCCAAAGCCGTAACACGCCTGCTGCGGGGAAGCCGCTGATGGGATATGCAAACGCTCGTGGAAGCTGGTTTGCCTGCGCACGCATGCTGACCGCAAACACCAACATTCCAGAATTTACCCCATCGGCTTTAAAAAGGTGTCTCGCGCATGGCATTGAGGCCTCAGACTTTCCCGCACCTCTGCTTCCAACGCCCTCAACAGAGCAGTCTTCATCACAAGATTCTGACTTTCTTACACTTCGAGATAGGCCTGCCGGGCCTGGTCCGTGGATGTTGTATCTGGCACCTACCCGGCTTTCATGCGTCCAGGCTGGGTAGCAGCATTGTGCCTTGAGATTTCAGGGTGAGGTGGGCAAGGCTTCTTGCGTTTGCTTCGGTTCTGCAATCCCCTATACGCTTCCACTTATTAGTAAGATTTGCGGTGGCTTGTCCAGGTATGTTTGGCGCTGATGTGAGCTAGGAGCCTCCTACGCAACGCAACATGACAAGAAGGTATGCATTACCTTGATGTCCAAAGGGGAGGCCTTCATGCGTGCGAGCAACGCTAGCGAGGGACAACCGGACACGCATGTAGATTCTCACAACGCTTGAAATTGAAATGTGGTTTGACCTGCATTTGAGTTGCGCGGCTTTGGTTTTGCGCCGGCAGGGGATGCTGTGCTCGTGCTCTAATCTGACTTCCCGCGGAAATTGACCTAGGCAGATTGTTAGCCAATTAAATGCATTGACCTAATCCTTGCTTGTGATTGATAAGGGCCCCTGATCCTCTCCCCGGCCCCCCCCCTTAGATTAATAACCCAGGTGCCAGTATTCTAGGAAACGTTGGGCCCCCTGAGACCGTCTGCGGCTCCCAACAGCCCTTTCGAGCCGCTCGCAGACTGCTTCTGAGCCTTCTCAAGCGGCTCCATTTATCTTTTCTGCGGTTACTTCTTCTATTAGCCTAGAGGATTTTCTATAAATAACGAGACACCCTTGCACGAAAGCTCCGTAAAGGGTAGCTCAGGAAGCAGTGTTCGAGCCTTTAGTTGCCCGTCATTTTTAGTAAGCAAATCAGCCTTCAACATCAGCTTTGTTTTTCTTACTTCCAGAGCCGCCACATCTAAGTAGGCGAGCCTCCCTGAACTTTCAGTGTCAAGGTGAGCTACTGAACTTAAGTAAGCTTCAAATTGAAAGCTATTCCAGATCGTCTGCGAGTCAAAGAAAATCTATTTGGAATTGAAACCATTCCGAAACCCTCTCTGGTTATTCTTTTCTATTTTTCCAAGGTTTTCTTTAACTCAGGAAGCAATGTTTGAGCCTTCAGTTTCCAATAATTTTCAGTAGGAAAATCAGACTTCAAAATGAGCTTTATCTTTCTCATTTTCATTTCCAGATCACCCAAGTAAGCACGTTTCCCTAAACCTTAAGCTTGTCAAGGTTTGGGATTTTGGTTTTAGGGTCTAGGGTTCAATTTAATGCAACCTGCCTGCATCACTCGTCATCACCGAGAATTACTCCGTCAGAAAGGTGCAACACGCAAGATTTTTACACTTTTGTCTGTTGGCAAATGCAGCTTGCTAGCATCAAAGCTGGCTTCAAGCGACTGTGAGTGATGCCTGTTGGCGTGACGTAGTGCCGGCCCCAAACGGTCGCAGTCCATCGACGCTTGATTGGAGGTGTTGCTGTGCTGTGCGCGAATTTCCAGGTTTGCCAAGTTCAGGAAGCGGGCATGCGGGGACCGCTAGATGTCACTGGCAGAAAGTATTCATTTGCTCATTGCAGAATACATCGCTTTGGAAGGCACGGTGAGCCTCCCGCGCTCGCGGCGGAACAACTTTGGGCGCCTGTTGCAAGTCACCAACTCTTCTTAGACACCTTCGTTCAAAGCAGGAGAGACGCCAGGCTTCTGCCTTCTGGCCATCACCAGATTCATCCACCTTAGTGGCATCGCAGCTCTGGAATAGCCTTTACGCGCATCAAGTACCTTGCCTCTGCCAGAAATGCTGCGAAAGCTGAATCCTAGGTAGAGGCTTCTGAAAACTTTGCGGGAAACCTTCTGTATTTCAAATACCACAGCTGCATATGAGCGTTCGCCGAAACTCCTTGTATAATTCGATGCCATGGACAATTTGGGGGGGTCCTATCGCTTTTGGGGGTCTTGGCGTAGGATACAAGGAAAGGTATCGCTTTTGGGGGCTTTTGGGGGGTTCAGCCAAAACACAGTCATAGCTACGTCTTAGATTGA